ATATGGTCCATTGTGTGGCTAGGACTGAGAACCTCCAAAGGAAAATGCCTGTGGCAGGATGAGGAGGGAAGAAAAATGTTGAGAAAAGTTGGATTAAGCTTGTAGTGACCCATACCCATTGGAAGTATTGGAGAAGTTTACTCCAGAGGGAGGTGGCAAAGGCACAATGTAAGTAAAGTGCTCATGGTTTTCTTCCGCTTCCCTGCATAGGATGCGTTTGGTGTGGGAGGTTGGAGCCCCTATTATGGTGATGATCTATGGTGAATGTGTGGTTGGGTAGAACCAATCATGTGAAAATTTGTACTTTGTGGAGGTTGGGGTGAGATATGCTAAGGTGTACCTGGTTTATTTTACCCTCAGTGATTATCTGCATAAAGTCATGAGGTCTTTCTGATGATCTTTATTTACTTATTTTTCCATAAATATGTTTCCTTATGACCCATGTTACATGGATTATTTTGTTCGGGCTCTGTACCCAATATGGGACCTGTAGCTGACTCACACAATGACAAGATTCTTTCGGATTCTTTTTCTTGTTGGCTTGCAATTGACTAAAATCATTCATATTAACTTTGATCTTCTTTTTTTAATTCGGCAGAAATATCTACTTTGAAAATCAGTATGAATTCTGCCAAACCGTAATTGATTTTTGTTTTGCTACTTATCATGAAATAAAATATTAGTAAACAATGCTGGATATTGTATTCTATTTAAAATATAGCCACATGTTCTCTAATCTTGTTTTTCATGGCATGATGAATGTGACAACCCATAAATGTGTCTTATACAAGTACCTATGTCCATGGCGACATGGCTTCTGAATATTGAAATTTTTATGCATGATGTTTCCTGAAAATTTTGAACATGTTTTTGGAAAATGTGGTTTTCTTTCTCCAGCTAGATGATAAATATTTTTTTGATAAATAAGCTTTATGATGTCGTCATATTGAGATAGTGGTTCACGGGCTTAGACTAGTCTAATATTCTTCAATGCTTTTAGAGTGAACTTCACTGACTTTGGGATGGCCATGGATATCTATGCATTTAATTGTTTGTTTGATTGTGGGACCTTGGTAATTGTATTATGAAGTCCCTGGTGGCTAAGGTGGCAGCCCATTGGGCGACCGTATTTGATTATTTTGGATTTACAAAGAACTTATAGATTCTTGGAAACCTTAGTGCAAAGAGTTAAATGTTCTACTATAGCGTGTCGCAATTGGTCCATGTAAAAGTCTCTGCAAACCCTTGTTTCTTTGTAAAGATTCTTTGAAATGGATACATCATTTACTTGATAGAAGTTATTCGGATCTTTCATCTTAGGTGGCACTACTGTTCTCATAATGTTGTTTTATGGTCTAGGAGGTAATCTTGTTCGCAATGTGTCCCCATTATTTTGGGAATGCATTCCCTCTTTCCTTAGGAACTCTTCCTGCTAAATTTGTTATAGAAGAGCCCATCTCTCCTTTGGAGGGCTTTATTGTGGACCAACCAAATGCACATATTTGAAAGAGATTTCAAACATCAAAATCCTGTAATTTATCCTTTTTCTAAGATTTATGTTTTTACTATTTGATTATTTATTGTATTGGTGCTCCCATGCAATGAAATTCTGTAAAAGACATTATTATTTTATTTTATTTTTGCAAAATACAGTCTAGAATTTGTCCTTTAATTTTTAATTTTTACCTTAGAAGGCCTCAATTTCAATATCCATACTTAAAAGTTGGTGCCCTCTATACAGATTGGGAGGGCATATGTTATTTCCAAGTTGAAGGATTATCCACAGTTTCAGGCAGTTGCTATTGCAATTCAGAGATCTGGCTTTAAGGTTTGACTGGTCTATGCTTGGAATATGTTGCCTTACTATGGTGACCTCAATATCTCAAACTATTTAGTTAGTGGATTTCTATAGTGAACTAATGATTTTCTAAGTCATGCACAGAGTATAAAATCTAGGGTGTTTGCCTCTCTAGTATTTGTAGAATAATTATCTTGTGCTTTATTTTTTTTGTCCTCTCTAGATTGTGCTGCTGCTTCGGCTTGTCCCCTTACTTCCGTTCAACATGCTGAACTATCTCCTTTCTGTGACTCCTGTTAGCATTGTTGAATATATGCTGGCTTCTTGGCTGGGAATGATGGTAAGCGACTTCCTTGTGCCCGTGTTTCCCGTCATATTATGGCTTAATTGAGTTCTGGTTGATAGGATCACCCAGGCCTTTTGACTTTTTGGAATTAATAAAATGATCATATTGTATGCATAGACGGTGTTTGTATGCTAACGCTGAGGTCTAATTTATGCCTTGCATTAGAATGTTTCTTTTTGAAATTTAATACCACAAACTTGAATAATCTTAGGTTAGTCTATTCTTTTTCTTCACATGGAAATTTGGTAGAGACTTGCGTTACCATTTTTAGATGCCATTTATAAGTTGAAAGAATATTTCTTTTTGATTTTGTTTTTCATGTGTTGGCACTAATTGGTATTGTATTCAATGGCCCCTGTGGCTACCTGATCCTCTGATGATGAGCATCAAGCGTCACTTATTACCATGGTCCTGTACTTTTCTCATTGTCAGAACCACTTCTCTCAACATTACTCCTGAAATTTCTATTATCCTTCTCCCTCCACACAATCTAGATGATAACCTGGCAATGACAAAACTTGGTCCCCACTGCGTAAAAGGGTCAGCAAAGATCCACTTGGTGGCCCAATAATGGACTCTCTATCCATTTCTTTATCCCTCCAGTTCGTTTAAAAGTTTCACATTAGTAATGCTTCTAGCGTGGAGCTAATCTTTCCAGGAGTAGAACGCAAGCCTGTATTATGTTATTGTCACTTCATAGTTCAGCCTAGAACTTCACTCTTGTATCCATACCATCCCCTACCCAAATCATTATCCCAAATTGATACAGGGAAGATGGGAAAGAAATAATTAGAATAATAAATAATAAATGGGTGAGAGAATATATTATCTCTCAATGTCTGCAAAGGAGTCCACTCTAAAGATCTCTTAACAAGAGCGAAACAACTTCTTTCTTCTCAATAACCAAGTTCTCTAAAAAGAATATTTTCCCTTTAAATACAAAACTAAAGCACTAATAAAAAAATAGAAAAAAAAAACCTTCAAAATCTCTCTCTCTCCCCCTCCCCCCGGTTTTCTCTCTCTCCTCTCTCTTCATCTCACGTAAATCTCTATCTTTTTCGCTCAACCTCACATCATCATCGGTTACATGAATCTTGTTTATCCATTCTTCTCTATCATGGGCAATACCCTCAGTAAAACCAAAAGTTACGATATCTTTTCTCATTACTTCTATCGCTGACCTTTTGGGCATTCCCTTTGCCCTTTTAGAGCCTTCGACTTGAACCAAATCACATCTCCTAATCGGTGTTGTATTAGGTCTACGCTACACATGACTAGCCCACCTAAGCCTACTTTCCCTCATCGGTGTTGTATTAGGTCTACGCCTACACATGACTAGCCCACTTAAGTCTATTTTCCCTTATCGCCTATTGAAGTCACACCTAAGTTCCCTTGCATGTATTCATTTCGAATTCTATCCTTTTTTGTCTTGCTACTCATCCATCTCAACATCCTCATCTCAGCTACGCTCATCCTATAAATAAATTATTTCTTTACCGCTCAACATTCCGTCCCATAAAGCATGGCTGGTCTTACAGCCATCCTATAGAACTTCCCCTTTAGTCTTATTGGTATGCAACAATCATGTAAACCATCGGATGCACATCTCTACTTCACCTATCTAGCTCGAATTCTATGGGCGACATGTTCTTCAATCTCTCAGTTTTCTTGGATTATCGATCCTAGATATTGGAAACAATCTCCTTTAGGTATTTATTGACCATCAATCTTAATTACTTCCTCATTTCTACTCTTACTATAACTAAACTTGCATTCCACATATTGTCTTAGTCCGTCTAATTTTAAAACCTTTAGATTTTAGATCATCCCTCCAATGTTTTAACTTTGTGTTGATGCCGCCCCTAGTCTCATCGATGAAAACTATGTTATTTGTAAACAACATACACTACTGTACCTCATCTTGTAGGTGCCTAGTTAACTCATACATGATAAAAACAAAGAGATATGGGCACGACGTTGACCCCTGATGTAAGTCCATTGTCATTGAGAACTCACTTGTCTTTCCACTAGTTGTTTGCACACTAGTTAGCGTTTCCTTGTACATATCTCTCACTATGTCAACATAATATTTGGTGACTCCTATCTTTTCCAACACCCATTAAATTAAATCTCTAGGTACCCTATCTTATGCTTTCTCTAAGTCAATAACGGTCTTGTTTCCCTTTGTCCTAAACTTCTCAATCAGTTTCCTAAGTAGGAAAATGAGTTTGATAGTTGACGTCCCTGGCATAAAGTCAAACTGGTCTTTACCTATTTTCTCTCTCTAGTTTTCTACTCACTTCATCTTAGAAGATAAAATAAGCTTTCAAATTCTACCCCTAAAATTTCTACAATCAGTAAAGACAAAAATAACCCTAAACCTAAAATGTCTAGAAAATTACAAAATAAAAAATTAAAAAAAGTTATTGCATCATTTTCCTGGGGTTGGAAGAAGCTCAACCTCAAGCTTGAAAGTTCAAACTGGATTCAAAGATCGTCTCCTTCATCACCATGTAGAAGTATTTCTATGTCTTAAACTTGTACTTGAATTTCATCTACTTCTTTAGCCAAATTTACCTCCATCTTCTTTTTTGGGCATTCATATGTATGGTGTCATGTTTCATTATATCGATAACAAGTAACCTTTAAGGAATCCCTTTTTTCTTCATTAAATTTTGGGTGGCACAATACCTCCTTCTGGGTGAAAAGCACTTGTTAGTGCTCCATTGGAATTTAGTCTCTACTCATAAAGCAATTTGAAAAGCTTTGCTTAAGGTCCATGGCTGATGTAGAAAGACCTCATCTCTAACAGGTTGTTGGAGTCTATTTACATACTGACCAACCTTTTGTCCTTCAGTCACTGGGAGGTTGTTTCGAGTCAACAAGCGTATAAAATTCCCCGGAATAATCGTCCACTTCCTTTTCATTCTATCAAAGATTTTCGAGGTTTTAAAAGAAAATTTGCTCATGATCCTCCTGAAGAAAGTTTTTTTTCAATTTCTTTTTCATATTTTGCCAGTTCGAAATTTTGCCTTTCCACCGCAAAGTTGGGATTGTTGGACTTGTTCCTACCAGGCCACTACATACCCTCGAAGCTTGGTTACAACAAGTTTAACCTTACTTTCCTCATAAAATTAGGGAGATCGACTTTTTAGAGATCTCGTGGACATTCTGTAGGATGTGGGTCGTGCCTGAAAATTTGTTCGTTACGTTCGGGATCAACACCCCGAGTTGGTTGTAGGACTCGACTTGTCTCTACGGTGCATTTTGGTGTCAAATCTTCATGGTTGTGGGCACCCTCTTCTCGAAGAATGATTTCTTCTAATTGTTACAACCTTTGATTTATTTCGCTAACCTCTACTCGGATACTCTTCACAACTTTGTTTATATATTCTATAGTGTTTGGCATTAAATCACCAATCGTAGGACCAGGTTTTGGTGGCATTGTGAGTTTGGATCTTCTTGTTCGGGTACCAACTAATGTAGGGAAGGAGGGAAGATGAGAAATAAATAATTAAAATAATAATAGTAATAATAAATGGGTGAGATCATAACCCTCGCGCAAGGTCTGCAAGGGAGTATACCCCAAAGATCGTGTTATAAGATCAAAACTTCTTTATTCTCAATTAACCAAGTTCTCAAAAAAGGGACCTCTTCCATCTAAATACCAACTAAAAGAACTAACAAAAAAAATAGAATAAAAAACCCCGCAAAAATTCTTTTTCTCTCCCCTATGTTTTCTCTTTCTCTCCTCTCTCTATATCTCATATAAATCTCTATCTTCGTCCCTTTTCTCAACCTCGCATAAATCCTATAAATAGTTTCCTAACTATTTCATCTTTAAAAATAAAGTAAACTTTTCAATTCTATCCCAGAAATCTCTACATCTGATAAAGACAAAAATAACCCTAAACCTAAAAAATAACAAAATATTTTTTTTAAAAGTCATTGCATCACGAACTCCTCAACCCCTAGTAATTTCCATGATCCGGACCCTCGTAACCTGCATTTGTTATTCCTCACCCAAAAAAAGAAAAAGAAAAATCCTATCGCTTTGACCTTATAAATGAATGCGAAGATTATTGCCAGGTTCATTATATCTATTAAACACCGTTGATGCATGGACACTTGCATATGCTTAATGTGCCTGTGTTGCCACAAATAGTGATATGGGTACTGCTTGGATACTTGAATGTTGTATAAAATGGCACTTAAAACATATAACCACTAATATTCATGCATTATGATATGGTATATATATGTATCAATGCGTCGATGCACATGGTTCTACAAGCTTTAATATAGAGTTATTGATGTGTTAGATAGAGAAGTCTAGCATCTGCATCTATGTCCTGGATTTCTAGAAATGCTGAGGTGTATCCCTGTTCTCCTTAGCATGTCTATATCCATACCTATATCTGGGCATCGTAGCATAAAACATAATAGCTAGGAAATTTGAAGGCTCAAGCGATGATGGTATCCACTAAGATGTAGGGGCTTTTAAAAAGCCATCACACTTTCTAAGAAAGAAAAAGGAGCATGCTTCCCCAAAGAATCAGGGAAAAGTCACTCATAGAAGGCTATAACCAGAAACAAATGGTAGAATAACATCATCAATGCTTTACAATTTCCACCCCCTAATGCATCTATACTTTCCATTCATGTGTACACTCTAAATACACCTGGATCATGAAATGACTCAACACATCTCCTTAATATTAATTTATTGAAAAATATTCCTCCCTCAAGTGTAGACACCACATCACCTGTAATCCCCTTCTCTCTTTGAAGCACACAAATCTAACTGCAGTGTTCATGGTAAGCAGCTAAAGCTGATGCTGGATAGATGTTAATGATGTATACATGATTTTCCTTGAATTCACCTTTCTATGTCAATATGTACCCAATTTCTTCAGAATTGCATCTCTCGAAGTTTTGGACTTGAGGATTTATGTAGAATGGCTTCCTCATTTTTGTCATGTGTTCCACAGCTTCTGTATTAGTGATTGATTTTGCAGTAAAATTGGTTTAAACTTAACAATGTTCGAGAGATTTTCATTTGCAGCCAATTACACTTGCCTTGGTGTATGTTGGGACAACTTTGAAGGACTTATCTGATGTTACACATGGATGGAGTGAGATTTCGACTACTCGTTGGGTTAGTATGCATTACCCTGTCTTTTTAGAGTTGATAAAATGCCATTATGAGGAATTTACTGAAGAATGGAAATAATGTAGCTCTTTTGTTTTCTCCAAGTCCATTTGATACTTTGCCCCTGTCAATTTCAAAATCTCCACTATTTTCTTTTTATTAGATTACTCCATATGAACAACGTATATTCGGGTATTTGGTCATTGTAAAAGTGATAGTTTGTGAGATCCCAATGTGTTTGTAATCTTTGAATTATTTGTAAATGCGCTGAATGCTCATCTCTATGTAACATGTATTACTGCTCTTAGTGCTAGCTGAATCCAAGTAATAAAATTGGGGCATCATGCTTCAACATCGGAGCTTTTTTTTTTTTATCTTCTACATTTCTGGTTCTAGTGGCATTATAATATCAAGGTGTAATACCTGTACATGAGATGCGTTTTTAATCCACAGCATCTGATTATATGATGTGGCCTATGCGAATGCAGGTGGTTCTTGTATCTGGTCTTGTAATTTCAGGTGAGTATTTGGGCAGTGCTTGCTTCCCTATGTTTTTCACTTGGTTTCTCCTGGATTTCTAGTAGCAAAAGTGGGTTTTGAAGTATGTAGTTTCAGTAGCATAATTGGGTTTTAAGCTTTCTAATTATCAAGGACTCAGGTTGGAACTCGCTAGACGAGCTCGAGTGACTTGGGTCAGTCGAGTCAGAGTCGTTGATTTTTTCACACCGGCCTGAAGTATTAGCATTCACTTATGAGATGAAAATGTTTCAGCATATGATAAATGCTACCCTTGTTTCAATTTACATGATCCTTCTATTTCTTTCTCCTTTTTCTGCAGTGGTTCTTATGGTTCTTGTTACTAAAGTGGCGAAGTCATCTTTGGAGAAAGCACTGGAGGCAAATCCAGAGGTCGAGAGTGTTTGGACCCCACCTCAATTACCTACTCTTGCAGAGGCTGCATCGGATCTAAATCAGCCCCTCATAATCAAGATTGATACTGCTGATCATGAGAAGTGATGTCTCTCCATCCATGTATATTCTTTTCTTCTCTACTACCTCTGTTCATTTCATAGTAGCAAATATTGATGCCATGGTGAGAATGCATTTTTTTTTCTCATTTGTTTAAAGCATTGTCTTTTTTTCTACCACACCATTGTTATACAAGTGAAGACTATAAATTGAGAGAAATGATAAAACAGTTCTACAGATCCAACTCAAATGACATGTATTTCAAGTTCTTCTAGGGAATACGCCCAGGAAGTGTAATGCACACTAGCTTCGCATAAGAAGGTACCTATTTACCCCATGTTGTGGTTTTATGTATGTTTTGAAACCCAGCTATTTATTATCGGGAATTGCCTATCTGGATTGGGTAGGTGATCGGGCTCCCCTAACCTCCCAGATTTTGCTTATTATTATTGTCAAGTGATTTTTCACTCCTTTGGCTGATCCTGATCTGCATTGTGGGTGGGAGATCGAAAATGATTCTAGTTTTTAAAACACTGGGTTAGTGAGAACTCTCTCCATTTGGGCTTTGTTTGGATGGCGCCAAAAACGCGTTATGGCACATTTTGCTTTGCGTGACAGTTCCAGCTTGATTTCTGAGGCAGCAGTGGAGTGCCCCAACAAATGCATTATGGAAATTAGGTTATGGTGCTCCCAAACGCAGCATTAGGTTAACATGAGTTTTACGGGTTAATGGCCCATGAGATATGTTGGATGCCATTTTTATCACTTCCATCCTAAATTAACGCTCTAACCTTGGCAGCTCTAGGGCAAACGTGAATGGAAAATTAGAATTTATTTCTATTGATAAAATGAAGATAAACGTTTACATGAGGTTGCACTTTTATTTGCACAATTAACACTAATCTATAACGTTCATTTTATTCAGACAGTCTAAAAGATATGCCATATTTTTACACTTTTACAAATGAAGTTGCAAGCTTATGCAAACCAAACCCTAAAAAAAAAGTGGGGTTAAAAGCAATAAATTGTAAGGGACTCAAATAACTATATTTTTAGAATATACAGTCCTTTGGCTCCGGTGGCAACTAGATCAATGCGTGATTGCCTCGAGAAGTTCCCGTTGCAATATGGAACTTTGGGTATATATCATAAGATTCACGAGCACTATCGAATCACGAGCACTATCGAATAGTAAATAGTGTAAAAAAAGAAATTGTTTGTATATACAGTAGGATCTTCAAGCTCAAGGTTCATAGGAACTGGAACCTGGGATGTTGGCATCACTTTGGTACTTTTTCACCACTAGTTCTTCTTTAGTTGGAGGCTTGATAGCTAACTTTATCGAGATATTATTGGTAGAGTTTTACGGGGATATCATCGTGTTTGTCTTTTTTATTGGGAATTTATCAGCTAATTACTTCAAAATATTAATTATTTCTGTTATTGTTTATTATGAGTTTTGTATTAGCACTTGTAGTATGAATTCAAACAAGACAATTAAAACATAAAGGGTGGGGTTTGTATAAGGCTGAGGCCCTAAAGAATCAAGGTGCACCTTCAAATAGTATTGAAAGGCGGCGTTTCAGTACTGAAAATCTTTGTGATGTCCTGAAATTTATTTTCATATGTAATTGTAAAATTTGAAGTTTCAAGAATAGTATAGATCGAGCAAATATATGCATATTTGAAAAATCTTAAAAATTGATGATCTAGAAAATGCATTAGAAAACATGCTATTTTCAAGACTTGAAATTTATTTTTTCTCATGTTCATATATCTTGTGGTTCATATGATTGATTTGAGGAATTTTGTGCATCAAAACAACTTCTTCTAGTAATTTTTGAGAAGCGCCCTAATTTGATTGTTTAAGGCTTCACCCTATAAATTTTTTTCAAATAAAATATATTTAACATTTTGAAAATTATAGAGTTGACAATAATTTCGAATGTATCTCAAAATATATTGAGAGTCACTGTTCAAAATAAAGTTCTAACTTGCACATTCCTTATGAAATACTTACAAATTGCTCCCTATTTGCATATTAGCATTTTAAAGCTAGGGGTGTGGTTTGTATAAGGCCGATGCTCTAAACAATCAAAGTAAGACGCATCTTCAAAAAGTGTCAAAAGATGTGGTTTCAATACTAGATATCTTTGTAATAACTTGAAAATTTATTTTCACCTCTAATTATAAAATTTAAAGCTTAAAAAATAGTGTAGATCGAACAGATCTATAAAAATTTGAAAATCTTGAAAATTGACGTTCTAAAAATGCATTGCAAGATGAACTATTTTCAAAACTTAAAATCCATTTTTTCTCATGTTCATGTATCTTAAGGTCTAGATGAGCAATTTGAAGAGACATTTTTTAGGTGTGTCTTAATTTGATTCTTTAGAGCCTCACACTTATATAAACTTTTTCCTTTAGGTAATGATGCATCTCTTCTCAAACTCAAATTAATAAACTTTGCATTTAAATTATATACATGATATCATCGTCCTAGAATATCGTGATAAATTGATTCTACAGAGGTGCTATGGGAGTTATTATTGGCACCAAAACTTATGGTCATACGATAGATATAAAATGAAACCAAACCCTTTTTTTAGAATAATGCATTTCCAATGTCAACTCTTATCCGCCTTCTGCTTTTCCAATTCGTTTTGTTGGCGGGGCAAAGCAAGAGGGGAAAGAAGGAGAACATCAGAGATCATAAGTTCCAGCATTTAAACTTAGATCCTTTTAAACCTTGGATTTCTTATCTTATCCACTATTTTCCTCTTTAAAACAAAATAAAATTTATAAAAGTATCTATAAGATATGAACTATTTAACATTTTATCCATGTAGAATAATATAATTTTAGGATATCATAAAAATATACATGATCATGAATTGGAATAGTGATAAAATGCAAAATGTTAAATAGTGCATCTCTTTTGGATAGTTTGATAAAATTTTCCAAAATCGGAGTTTTATCATCTGCTTTTGAAATTCTATTTATTTATTTATTTATTTGCTTATGGCTAAGTATGCACTCTTTGCTGTTTTGAAAATATTTTATGCTCCTGTAATTGCAAAATGTGCATTTTCTCCCTCAGTTAAAACCCTATTTAGGAGATTTTATGGACCCTGAATAATTGAGGATGTAATCTATCTGACCTAGCAATCAACCTTAGAAAAGGAAATTTGAAAAATGTGCTCCAGATATGCCTCAGAACATGTCATTTTAAGATTAAACAGAGAACATACAATTCTTTGATGATTACGCCTAGGTGTTCATGAACTCAAAATCCTTCCTTTCTTTGATTGAATTGCCATGATTTTAAATTTGATCCTTAAATTTCATATCAAAAAGATTTTCCAAGGCAGCAGATCTTCTGCCCAAGGGATCAAGTGTACATATTGCTCCCTAAGGAGCACACTTCACTTATTCCCTGAGTTTTATTGCATATATATATATATATATATATATACATATTTATTTTTTTTTTTTGGGTGCATGAATCAGGTATGCTTGCATGTTTTAGGTAGACTGTGACCGTCCTAGCCTATGGTGTGATAATCTCACCTTACGCACTTTAACAAAAGGTTAGTTGAGATAAAGTTAAGTTGATCTACTCTACCAAGAAAAATAACCTTTCGTTCCCCTGTCAAAATCAAATGAAACTTACCTAAAAAGACATTTATACATGTCTCCACAACCATATAATCTATGTGTCGGGAGACAATAGCTGTATGAATGTTTTCGGATGGCTAAAGTGTGTTGCAAATAGTATCAGAAGTTGGTACCAGTTTTAATTGTTAGGCTATAATTAATATGCGATATTATTGTCAACGTGGTTTTAACCATTCGATAGAGACTGAGTTGATAATATCTTTAGTTAATATGTTAGTAGATACAAGCAAAAATTGTCCAGAAGAAGTCAAATGAATCTTATTGTTAGCAAAAATACAAGGATGAGGTTTTGTATAAGGTGCCACCTTCTACAAGTAAGCACCCCTCGAAAGTGTCAGAAACCTTATGATGGCTTGAAAATCCATATTCAACCCTAATTATAAAATTTCAAATTTAAAAAATGATACAGATCTGTAAATACTTGAAAGTCTTGAAAATCAACGATCTAGATACTTGTTACAAAATGCACTATTGTTAAGACTTGAAATTCATATTTTTTTTTATATCTATATATCTCGAGATTGAGATGATCTATTAAAAGTTTTTTCAACTTCGAATCACTCCTTTCTACTAGATTTTTTAACAGTAACTTACCCCTAATATAGTGGCAAAGTTAAATAAACTTTTCCCAGTGTAATTCAACTCAAGGCTATAACTAGATGCTATAGAGCTCTATGTTTCTCGTGATGGTGTCCGAGTTTCTTTGTTGTTTTGTTTGCTTTTATAGATTAATTTATTTATTGTTGTCCTTTCTTTATATAAAATATAAAAAATTCTAGAGTTTCTAGGAGACAAATTATCCTTAAATCTCTCGTATTCACTCCTTTAGCAACTAAAGGCGCTTAAAATGTGGGTTTTGTCTTTATTTTCACAAGGTAATGTGGCCACCTAGGTTTTTAGCAATCCACCCCTATGTCTTAGTTTGTCCACCCAAAATGAACTACTCATAGTCGAAACAACCATTTCATTTTGATTGGGCCTCTTATTGTTTTCCTCTTTTATTTTATTTTTTTATGTGGGTTTTTTAGGGCATGGGTGTGCAAACTAGTCCCTTTTTTTCAGTGCATGAATTTGCAGCTAAGTTTTTTGCATAAGAGCATGGATTTCAACATTACATTGGGATTGTAGCACATAAAAATTGTCACTATCTTGGGGCTTGTATTTTTACATGGAGACGCAAGTCTGTGCTATAAAGACACAGATAACATGTCTGATGTGGGTGGCTAAAATGACAATTTGTCTTTTAGATAGATTCAGATACATGTACATCACTAAAATAAAGAAGGATGTGAGATTTTAAAATAATTATTGTGATGTTTCTATGAGAAAAAGTTAATAAAAGGTGGTTCAGTATCGTTAGGGAAATCTTGTCTTTGATGCGTCTAGAACATGTAAGAAACCATAAATATATATTGACCATCTTTGAGATGGGTTTTAGATCTAAAGTTTTGCTAGTTTATCATCGAGATTGTGAATGAAAAAGAAAAGGACCTTGAGCCTTAAACCTATTTTCTTTTGTAACTTTTCGGACTATCAATTTAGACAGTAGAAATGTATTTACATTGATTCATTTGTTTTATAACTCCAAATTTATGGATCGAGGGTAAAAATAAATTTAAAATCATTCAATAAATAAAGGAAAATTATGAGTAAAGCCACTCAGAAAATACTCTGTCCAGAAATGTTATTTTCCTAAAGAAGATAAAATATGAATGAAAATTTATCAAAACACACTCAATGCATCAACTATTAACATTTTATCTATTTATCAAAGTATTCCTAAAATATCAACTCTACTGAATTATGATTATAAGTCTTTCTATGGATGCTCGAAACTAAATAATAAAACAGAATCAGATGTTAAATAGTTGATACCTCGAGCACTTTTTGATGAATTTTTGTAAAATAAAATATATTTATGGAGACCTTTATTATGTCCCCACATTCATCATATTTGCTCTTCCCCAACCTCTAACTTTACCCATACTGGTGGCGACAAAATGATGACGGGCCAAACTTAAAAGGACTCTTCCTAAAGTTACCAAAATATCCCTACATGAGGTTTGATTTATCTCACTCCCTCCCTGTGTTCGAACGGCCCCCTTGCCAAGGGCCGGGTCCGGCTTAACCGGGCACATCCCACCCGATCCAAAAAGTATTAAAAATAAAGAAAAAATACAAAAAGACATAAAAAGTATATTTTCCACGTGATTAAACAAAGCATGTCTAAATGAAATTGAAAAGTAATGAAAAAAATGGATTTTAAAAAGTCGAAATATGCTCAAAAGTATTTTTCAAAATTTCTAAAAAAAAAAAAAGAAGAAAAATATAAAAATAAATAGTCATGACCAAAACACGTTCTAATGTTTGTCAAAAAGAAAAAAAAAACACATTACAACAGATCCCATACTTTTTTGAGATTTTATGTATATATATTTTGAATACCCGGCGAAAACCAAATGAGTGGGTGGTTCGAGTTTGACGGGTCGGTTCCAAGTTGGAGCGGCAGAGGTTGAGGTTGGGAACATTGCTCCCTCCACGTGTGTGGTCAATCTCTCTCTCCCTCCTCTATGCCTTTAATCTCTCTCTCTCACCATCACCGTACAACCCACCCATTAGACAGCGATCACAAAGCCTTCCCATCACTTCCTTACACAGGACAAAGCCACTGTATTTTTCTCTCCCCCACCTCATTAAACAATAAGAATTGCTCTCTCTCTCTCTCTCTCTCTCTCTCTCAAAGCATTTGCCTCTCTTTCACCCCAACTTTATCTTAAACCCACTGTTTTCTCATCTCCCAACCAACTTCCAATATCCCTCTCCTCTCTCTCTCTCTCTCTACAATGGACTGCTTCTGCTTCTATGGAAGCGTAGGGGCCGGATTATCGACAAAGATATGGAATTTAACAGAGAAGCCTATCGACTTGCAGATAAGGGTTGGATCCATTTTGAAGAAGGCTCACACAGTGAAACCAGGCAAGTATAAGAAGTTGGGGTGCAAAAGCATTTACAGAACAACAATGGCTACGGAAGATGGGAGCCTTTACATGTGCGATGAGACTTGCAGGCCTTACGTTTGGGTTCATGAGAGAGGAGAATCCACGAGAATGGTGAAGCAACAGTATATAAGCATTGAGGATCTCAGAGATCACTCTGATATTAGGGTTTGCAGAGACCATGTCAAAGGGATTATCACAGTGCAAAAGAAGCCCAGGTTGGATTTCTGCTGAATTTTCATGTCGATCCTTTTTCTTTTTTTTTTTTGCAATTTTCCATATCATTTTCTTTGTTTGGGTGGGGTGTTATAGTAAATGTAAGAAAGGAAATGTATCCTCTCTCTCTTGATGTTTTCTTGCTCTCTTCTTTCCCTCTGTTTTTCTTTTTCATCACCTCTCTCTCCTCTGTTGTTTTCTTGTTCAGTCTCTCTCTCTCCCCATGTGTTTCTCTCTCTCTCTCTCTCTCTCTCTCACACACACACCTTCTTCATTTGATTGGGTTGATTTGTGAAGTAGACAAATTAAGCCTATAGAGGTTTTTTGTTTTTTCTTTCTCTCTGTAATGCTTTTGTTGCTTTTCCATTTTGTTCTTTTCCTTTGCTTTTGGTTTCGTGGGTTGTTATTGTTGTCCTAAAGCAATATGTAGGTTGGTTGGCTTGGTCAACAAGTCAAATGAGATAAGATGAGTTTCTCTATCCTTTTTTGTGGCTTCTTTCTCTCATCCACCACCAAGCAACTTTTTACATTTCATTTCTCCATCCATATCTATTTTATTATGGTTCTAATAACTTTTTATTTTTTTAATTAATTGGGTTGACTACATAAATATTGATCCGCCATTCTACATATTTAATTTATGAATGTATGTATCACAAATACTAATATTGAAACTAGCATTTAGTGCAACATATCTATATATTGTTAAAACAAATGAGAGGTAAAACTTTATGTGATATATAATGCTTTTGCAATGGGATTCCAAAGTGGAAGATTAACAAGTGTTTGAGTTCCTAAAGTATTAGACAAAATATCGTATCTTGGTGAGCCTACACAACAAAAAATTATAAACAAGAGTGTCTATGTCATGTTATCAAGACTGAACTGTCGTTAGAACGGCTAGACTGTCGGTTGGTGTTTTGGTCTGTTTGGTTTATAACAAGGTAAAAACCAATGTTAACCATTTCTAGCCAATTTGACTAATAGGCTTTCGACTGGCCAAATAAAGTTGGACAATGGTTTTTTAACAAGGTTCAAAACAACGACTCGGCCAAGGCACTCGGGCCCTGGCCGAGTCAAGCTCAAAATCACATAAAAAAATTAGTTATATATAATGAGGAGCAGCTTCTATTCAAAGTGTGTCCATTGGAACTCCTTTTATCTTAACTCTTAAAAAAATTTTTTTCTTACATCTCATTAATTCTAAAAACCCTAGAAGTGATAAAAATGCACGTTCACTCTAACAAAAGTGATATTTATTTTTAGAATTAATTAAATATGACTAATTTTAATAATTTTTCTTATTAAAATAATAATAATCATAATATTATTGTTGATAATTTAGAAAAAATATTAGATTTTACACAGTTTATCAATATTACCTCTATGATACAATAAATCAATCGATATTAAAAAAAACATAAAGCCATAATAGGGGTTTTCAAGTTATTTCAATATCTTAAAAAAATAATGATCAAAACATTATTGTTGATTATTAAAAATAATAATAATCAATATTACCTCTATAATTACAATTTTTTATTGTTCATCAATATTAGTTCTATCTTGCACGAAATCAATCAATATTGGGGCAAAAAAACCATAAATTTGCATAGGGCTTTTGAAGATGATTTCAAAAGCTTCAAAATAATCTCTCTATATATATATATATATATATATATATATGGAATAATTAGAGAGAAATAATAGAATTGGTGTTTTTGTCATAGAGTAATGATGTTATCTATTTGATGCATGAAATCAGTCAATAATGGCGAAAGAAAACCACTTATCTGTATAGGCCTCTTGAAGCTAATTTCCAAAGCTTCAAAACAATCCAAAAAACTTCTGATTTGGTATAGAAATAAGCAAAGAACAATTAAGTTTGGTGGAAAAAAAGAAAAATCGTGCATAGAACCCTAAAACCGTAAATTTAAGGTGATTAAACATGATAAACACGAGAATCAACAGAGGGCTTTCGTAGATATATTCAATAGATTGAAAAAGAACACATAATCAATCAATTTCATGGATAAATAAGGGAGAACGGAAGAAATTGATGGCTTTTTTTTTGGATGAACGAAGAACCCTAAAAACCCGATAATTTCGTTATAAATTGTTGTTCGATTTGGGTTTTAATGAACCCAAGTCTTATCATAAAGATAATATTTTTTGTTAAAAACATGGAAAGGTTCCAAAATGCGATCAAAATCATTCCCAAATTTCAAATTTTCAGTTTACAAAAGTTTCCTATTATGAAAAACGAATTTAGTATTTTGAACAGAGTCTTTCGTTTTTCCAGCGATTCATGTTCACCCAATGGACCAGCAGCAACTGCACCATGGACTCGGGGCCCCTTGGCCTCTGCAGTAGGGCGAGGCCAAGGAACTCGGCCCAGGCCGAGTCGACTCACTTGAGCTCGAAAACTATGGTTTTTAATATAGGGAAATTTATCAAAATATCCTTCAGAGACGATTTATTTGATAATTTACTCATTTGCAACTAGCCCAACTTTAAATAATGTGTTTTTTATGGGTATTTTGAAATAAAACCCAAAGATGAAAGTGTGAAGAGTCTCAGGTTTCTCTGAAGAGACTCCTGGTGTCCATTCATTGATATAAATATACAAACTTGTTTTTTATAGACAAATTACATATGACACTAATAGAAACTAAATCATAGACACCTAAACGATACTTACACTTACCATAAAATATATGACACAATGTTTTATATTTCCTATATTTACTGATTACAATATACACCTTCTATATTAACCGGATATACAATATTTATTTTCCTTTCACACTTCCCCTCAAACTCAAGATGCTATGAAATAGAGCAGTTGTAGTTTGAACACCAAGTCATGGAAATGAGCAGTTGGATCTTCAGGTGCATACTCTGATTGCTTTATCAATCAGCACAAAAACAACGGCGAATCAACAAGCCTCTAGAACATATAGCTTTAGGAACTCTTGAAAAAGATCAAACAGATTAGAGAGTCGAAACATGACTCGACATAGAGACAGATCAGAGGCGAAACACGACTCGGCGCAGAGACATATTAGATAATCGAAACATGACTTGACATATAGGACAGATCAGCGATTCGAAACACTACTCGACATCATTTGCATTGACTGGATGAGCAACAGACTCGTCTTGAAATCGGCGACAATGCTTTAGAGAAGAGGAATGGATACAGTTAAGATGAATTTTGCTTTGATACCATGTGAAGAGTCTCAAGTTTATTTGAAGAGGCTCAGTGTCCATTCATTGATATGAATATACAGACTTGTCTTTTATAGACAAATTACAAATGATACTAATAGAAACTAAATCATATACACCTAAACTATACCGAGACTTACTATAAAATATATGACACAATATCCTACCTTTCTAATATTTACTTGTTATAATATACACCTATATTAACCGGATATACAATATTTACTTTCTTTTCACAGCAAGATGTTAAATTGTTCATTTGTTATGGTTATTTTGATAAATTTCCCATTAATATATTACATATTTTTAAGGAAAAATATCGTACAAGCCCCTAATTCTCCATCTAATTTCACAGGAGACCCTCCTTCTATTTTCCTTTGAAACGGCATAAAAAAACCCTCGAGTATTTCACTGTATCCCTCTTCTCTCCTACGTTTATTCACTTTTGGCTATAAAAACTAGCCTCAACAAATTGTTTTATTCCATCTCAATCCAAAAGTTTTTTTAACTATATTTTGTACTTTTTTTAAAAAAACTTTTGAATTGAGATGAAATAAAACAATTTGTTGATGCTAGTTTTTGTGGACAAAAGTGAATAAACGTGAGAGAGAAAATATGATGGGTACAGTGAAATACTTGAAGGTTTTTTTATACCGCTTGAAAGAAAAATAGAAGGATGGTCTACCGTAAAATAAGATGGGGAATTAAGGATATGTACAAAATTTTTCCTATTTTTAAAATATTTTTTTCTTTTAATATTTCAAACCCAATAAAACTTGTTCAATTGGTGAAGAAACTAGTTTAACGAGACTAATCCCCTCATTATTTCAATAACCAGTTCCATCTTGGTAATACTTGCCAATTATTTCAATAACTAGTTCCATCTTGGTAATACTTGCCAATGTTAAGGGTATGTCCGGTTCGTGTGAAAATATTTCCTAAGAAATATCAATGTGTATGTGTCCATTCTCCATTGCCTCTTACCTGATACCGAAGGTTTTTAATTACTCAAAAGTTGGGCACATCCCTCCAAATTACAGAGCAAAACAAACCAAATCGGTTTGTAATTACTCACAAGTTGGGCACGTCCCTCCAAATTACGGTAAAAAACAAACCAAATCCTATTTTCATTTTTTGTTTTGAGGAAACAGTTGATGAATTGCATTTTCGTTCAATTTCTTTATAGTTACGTTGTGAATAGACAGATTAGAGAACCATATCACAAACAAACAATGTATATATTTTCTCTCTTGCCACCTTAGTATTTGCTTGTATATTGGGAAATTATCAAAAATATATTTTAATTGGAAAAAATTTTTAACTTTTATAAATCTCGTCTACACTTTTTTTTTTCAATTTTGATATTTTTTTTATCAAAATAGCCTTCATGACAGTTATATTACCGTAATGACTACCGTATCAAGGTACTTTATGATAGGACCTTCACAGTAGTATGACTATCGTTAAAGCTATTTTAGTAAAACGAGTCAAAATTAAAAAAAAAAAAATGCGTAGACAAGATTTTTGAAAGTTGAGAGGTTTTTTTCCAATTAGACAAAAATTAAAGTACATTTTTTATAGTTTCTTTTGTATTATATTAAGAAAAATAGTTCTTAAAGCATTACTATTTAAAAATCTTTTGTTTGCTTTTCATTCTCTTATTTTAAACGATTATATATCCACACCCTCTAAAACCTTCTCTATGTAAGTGCTTTCATAGAAGGGCAAGGTTTCTATACTTCCTTTAATGTAGGATAATATATATTTTCCCTTATATAGCCATCAAATATGGTTGAGTTATATCTAATTACAATGTTAGATATCTACATTATTTTATTTTTAATTTTTTTATAAAATATTTTCACGCAAATTTTGGTCATCTACTTCTCTTTTAAACTCACACTTGCAAAAAATATAAAAAAATATTATTGAAAAAATAAAATAACGAAAACACCCCTAAAAGTTTCAAAGATATTATGGTTATTTTATTTTTATTAAAAATATTTATTTTTAAATTTTTGAAAGTGTGCCCCATGTTAACGACATCCAAATTTTGCACTCATAAGACATTAGAAGCTAAAAATTCTGAAAATACTCGGTGATTTGAAGTGGATCCTAGGATTTCCATTCAAAAAAGCCATTCGCTTCTCCACTAAGAGTACATTATTTCTTAGTACTTTTGTTATTGTTATTCGTTATATATGAAATGCCCTTTTGTAAATTAAAAAAAAAAAAAGAATGTACAACCACCAATTTTGAAATTTAAAAGGCATTACGATTTGTTTGTATAAAAAATAAATGGTATAAACAATCTCAATAAAATAAATAAATTATTGATACTTCTCCAATACTTTTTATATCCCAACCTAATTCCAACAATATTTTTTTTTTGTATTTTTGCTCTTTCTTCTTTTATCTATGAAATTTTATTTATTTATATATTTATTTTTAATTAGGCACACTTTTGTGGTGGACGGTAAAATTTATTTGGATCGGGCAAATACTCTTGCCGGACCGCCTTGGAATCTACAAAAGCTTTTGGATTTTTTTTTTTTGTTGCGACCCAAAAAAAAAGAACTTTTGACTCCAACAACCACCCATTGTTGGGTCGGCCTCAGAGATTTCGGTTCAATTTTTGAGCTCATTTAGAGATTTGCAGAAGCTGGAAAGAAGTTGGGCTCTGAGCTTCACAGTTTCCTGCCATGTTTGAGTAAGACTTTACTGCAATTTTTTTGGGTGGCCTTGTTTGACTTTCTTTTCTTCCATAGAGATCAAAGAAGGATCTTTTTCTGTCAAGCCAGATTCTAGAGAGAGAATTGGAGCTTATGTGCGACACATGTGGAACACCTGCTGTCACAGAGAGAGAGAGAGGGTCATAAACAGAGAGAGAGAGAGAGAGAGAGAGACTGAGACTGGGATTGGGGGTAGTTTGGAATGTTGAGAGAGAGAGTCCATGACCGGGTCATAGCTTACAAACAGAGAGATAGACTAGGATTGTGGGTAGTTTGAATCGTTGAGAGAGAGCGTCTGCGATTTGAGAGAGAGAGTTTGGGCAGAGGGAGAGAGTTTAGGCACAGTGAGATTTGGTAGGGAGAGATAGGAGGGCTTGGGAAGAGAGAAATTTTGAGAAGAAAACGTGAAAGTTTGGTAGAGAGAGATAGACGATAGGCACAGTGAGATTTCCTAGAGAGTGACAGAGAGGAGAGTTTGGGGAGGGGAGAAAACATGAAAGTTTGATAGAGAGAGAGGAGAAACTGTGAAAACCAGAAAGTATTAAAATCTAAAGGGAGCTTTGAGAAGGGTATTTTTATTTTAAATTTATTGTCTCTGAGTAAATACAAAAAAAACAATATTGAAGTCTATAGTTGGAAAAAAATAGTATCTAGATGTCTATGAAGTTAATTTTGGAGATATCTATAATTTTTCCTAAAACATTTCTCTCAATTTGTTCTTATGCGTCCTCTACCCATTATTCATTTTTTACACCAATTTTGAGCCCAATCTCTTAGGCATGTATTATCTCTAACGTATAAAATTTTAAAATTATGAAATAACGCCTTCTAACTAATATATTTGGATATTTAGTTTCTGTTTTTTTTGTTGAGTTCCCTTATTTGCGTCCAACTTAAGAGATGGACATTTGATCCTCAAGGGACACATTTGTGTATCGGTCGATTCCCTTGGTCACAACACCCACTTGGCAAGATTTTTTCAATTTGAAGTTTTGACGTTCATCTAAGAATCACTGGATCATAAATTTTAAAAGAAAAAAAAAAAAATAATTGAGTTTCTAACACGTAGATCTCACCCTCCTAAATAAATTATCTACAAAAAGCCCATTATTTTTTGTATATAGAAGTCACAATCATTCTTATTCATTAGATGTCATATTGGATAGCTTGCGGTGAGTCACGAAATCTAATTTTCTTTTTTTTTTTGTCTATTCAATAGCACTTTTGCAATCATATATTTTAAAATTTAAGGGACAAAAATGATTGTAACCTCCACGTACAAAAGATAAATGGTCTCCTTATAGATAATCACACACATACACACACATATATATATATATATATGAGAAAAGTTTATATAAGGTGTCAACCTTGTCATGTAAAAGTAAAGTACACCTAAAAAACCCACTAGAAAAGGTTGCTCTCATGCTGAAAAACCCTCAAATCGAACATTTGGACCTCAAGATTCATATACATTAAAAAAAAAAAAAGATTTCTCATCCTAAAAATAATCATCTTCCAACAATTTATATGGCCAATCAATTTTCAATATTTTTTAGTGCTTATATATCTGCTTGATTGTCATCATTTCTAGAACTTTAAATTTTATAATTGGGAGCCAAAAATAGATATTTATATCATCACAAGGCTTTGCAGCACTGAAACTGCATTTTCGGTATAGTTTTGAGGTACACCTTACTTCAATAGTATAAGATTGACACCTTATACAAACCTCACCCCACATGTACACCTGCCATTTTAAGGTTCTCTTTTTATTTGTAGGAGCACTTTTTGGCCCTGCACGCTACTCGGGTGAGTCCACTTGGACTCCCCCAAGTTTCTCAACCCAGGTAGGGCTCCAGTCTGGAGCCCGAACCAAGTTCCTGAACATTGTCTTTCACAAGAGAATACCCAAAAAAACAACAAAAGCATACACCAGAGCAATGAGTAAATTGGCCACAAATATCAGGTTCTACAAGTTTTCCCCAGAAAAAAAAACAGAAGCCAGAAGTTCTATAGGACTGTGAAAGTCTAAAATTTACTCAATAGTGCGAAAATCTACATAATTTGCTCGCAAAATTTGCGGAGGACATCTTCACAAGGGGAAAAAAACAGTCTTACTCAGGAGTGTAAGAATCTTCAAAGGTCATGGGCATGAAAGAGAGACCTTTGCTCATGAGCAACTGCACTGTCAGGGCTGTGTCCGACTCCATCAGCTTCGCAATCTTTTCCTCAAGTGGTTCATAGGATGCATTATAGAGTTCATAGTGACCGAATCCCTGTCCACCATCAAATGTTAATCATGGCTCATAATTTTGAAAGCATTTTTTTTAATTATGTGAAAAATTCTGTCAAGGGATTCATTGGTTTCTAAATCTTCTCAAATTAAAAACTAGAGGATGAAACCTTGTCTCATACTTGGTAAAACTACCGTGTTTTTGGTATCTCAAATTTTAATTTCTTGTTTCCTTGTTTTCTTCATTTCCTGTTCACTCATTCATCCATTCAATAATTAGGTTTGGAAAATGCACCAAGAAGGAAAAAAATGTATTTGATAATATAAGAGCAGAAAAAATGAAGAGGCATTATTCTAATAGTGTGAGACTAGTAGTAGATTGAATGGAAACTTGGACAATGTATACTAATTTTTTTGGTACAATCTTTCCTTACCCAACAAAATAAAGAATACACAAGTAAAATGTTCATATAGTCACATAATTATGGTTAAGATTAAAAACAGCCATATATGACAAGCATGCCCTAGATTTTCTGAAAATGCATTTGAAGAAGGTGGATTTTTTGTGCTAATGGAAATAACACTTGTAGCAATTCCATAGAAGAAAAGGGAACAGAAAAAAGTGTCACCTCAATATGAATAAGAGGATGGACTGGCTCCTTTCCACACAGCTTGTGCTTGCTTAGAACCTGCACAGTTTAGGAGGGAAGCTTTAAGGTAAAACAGGGAGATGATGTAGATGACTTTTTTATTTTTTCAATGGATAGATGAATTCGACTAGGAAATCAAGCACATTAGTTGTCACCTTGATCTGGAGCTGCAAGTATTTAACATAATCAATTATGTCATCCAGAATAGATGCTTGGTCACCCTGCAAGACCACATGCGTCATGATCAGAAAAAGCCTATAGTATAATCAGAAACGGAACCAAGACAATATTAGAAAATTCTGTGTGAAAAAACATATAAAGTTAAAAAGAAAATCAATGCTTGGAGAGATCAAATTGAAATCAATTGGATCCCAACCTAAAGGGCCAATAAGGATAGGAAACAAATGCATATTAAGATTCAGTGATTCAGAGTGTCCTAATTTGAACTAAGAATGTTTATAGTTACACAGCAGATTCTTACACAAAGTTATTGAGTGCAGGGACGTTTTGATATAATTGAGGGAGGATATATGGCTTCAAATCATTTACCTGTCCATCTTGAACAACTAACCTTAATCCTTTCATAATTTTTATAATGGTATCAGAGCACTCTCTTATTTCTACTCCTCAAGTAAGATTAGTCTATTTATCATCCCTTCATGACGAGTGAAGACACTATATAGAGTCCCATGGTATATCTCCATATCTTTTTTTCCTTGTTAAACATCACAAAAAATAATTAAATTCTTTCTCATCAAAGTAATAAACTATGTCATAGCATCGTGCTATCAAATTGATGGTTAATAACATAGTCAACCTCCAATTGCACTTCTAAACACCTTGTAATACATTAACGTAGCATGTATCCTTTCCTACTATCAAAATCCCTGTAATCCAATGTGCAGTTTGAGCAAATTATCAGATAGCGTGACATACATTGGACCACATTGCAATACATTAAGAATACTCTTGGACTTACGTATTATACATATAGGCCTCACCTTCTGGCAATTCGGAAGTAGTCCATGTAAATCATTCATTCTAGCCACAATCCTGTCTCTTCGAAGCTGCATGTGGGAAGAAATAGACGGGAAACCAAATAAATGGTAAATATCATGAAGAAATGAATACGAAGAAACCACAATATGGCATAAGTCACTAATCTAATGTGAACAATATATTCTGGAGTCATAGCTTTAATTGTAAAACCATTAAAAAAAGAAGAAGCAAAGAGCAGGAGCGTCGCATACCCTCTCACTAATACTATGTGGATTGGTGGCTTGGCCTCTCAGAGCCCTGATTGATGGTGGCCTCAAAGCAATGGCTGCTGGGATATCATTGGCATCTGGTTGATCCTTGCATACAAGATCCATCTCTCGTTTTACTACTTGTATCTGAGTACCAGAATATCATTAGAGTTGGCATACAACAAATATGACGACAAATATATTGAAAATGATCTTCAGTGTATGGAGTATGGACAGCTCCAGCAATTAATCTACCTCCTGTAACTACTGATTTCAATGGACCTGTAGAACGGTATAAACCACTATCCATTGGGTCATCACCATTCAATCAAAGATGGAGGGTTATGGAGGGAGAGGGTTAAAACCAATGCCGACCATTTCAATGGACAACAGATCATCAGTCCATTGGATTATAGTATTTTTTTTCCCCTTTCTTCTACCAGCATAAACAAGGAGTACACTTACTATGGAAGCATGGGAATCTTGTTCTGTCATGATATTTAGCTCAGGAAATGGCCCCAACAAATTCATCTCAGCATCAGATTTATCTCCATTAAGCAATTGGGTGAAAGATATTTCACTGTTAAGAGCCAGAACAGGTATTGAAGCCGCAGAGTTACGAATCCTTTTCGACATACAATCACTTGGAATTCTTGAGTTGATGTAGCTTGAATCTGGTTGGAAGCCAAGCGCCCTCTTTCCAGCTTCTAAGCTAGAACCTGGTAAACAGTTCTCCACAATAGGAATGGCATGGAGTGGTCTTGAGTTTGAGCAAACCAAATTGACATTGCCAAATTTTGAAGGGATGACCAATCCTGAACTTGCTTCATTACGATCAAATGGAAACTTTATGCTCCTTAGAGGACAGTTTTGCTCACTAATCTCATGACCATCAAATCCTATGCCGTTTAACTTCATCGTAGCCAAAGCCGCTTTCTTCAGCAACTTAGAACCATAGATTACTTAAGATCTCTATGGAGTGATCATCCTGTTGTGGCACTAAAATCAGCCCAATTACCCCAATAGATCAATCAAATGTTCTTGAATGAGAAATTGAAGCAATCTGACAATAAATACTATAAATTTCCATCCTCCTTGCTTCTTTCCTTTCTGAAGTAACTCAAACACACACAAATGACAAATATTGCATAATCAGCTACTGGATTAGGGATATTTGCTGAAGATAAAAACACATTGACAGAAATTCAACACAAAATGGGTATGACCAGTGTTATTCAGCTCTTTTCTCATCCCATAAAAAAGACAAAATAAAGATTACAAATACCTATGCAGCCACTGTAGCATTCAGGAGTTGTACAACGGAAGCATCATAAAACAGAGCGTGGTGGACCGGTAAACAATAATGAAAACAAAGGACAAAGAAATAGCACAAACACAAGATAAAAGGCATGCCACAAATGTTGCAATCCACTTAAATTCCAATTTAAGAGAATTTTACCACATCCCAGGGGATTATGGTATACAGTAATCCGAAGAGGTATCCGCCATCCATCTCAATGATGAATTGTCAAGATTAACTGCAACAGGTGGATGCCCTAATAGGTCCTACCACAGTTAATCTCCACTGTCAGTCATCTCATACAGATGGTGGATAACCCTTCATAGAACAGTGTCCATTTTTCCCTTTTAGTGAAAAGTTCACTCTATGATTCGCTACAATGGATGATTCTTTCATGACCACCACATTGATCTATTTTATTTATTTATTTTATCTATCGAAATTTATATTGCAAATGGTATATTGTGTATCGTGCAACTGATTAGTATGGTGTATTACCTAGCTGATTAACTCCATAAGCATCAACACAAAACTTTTCAGTGTGTTGATGGTGCAAGTTCATTAATAGTGGTGAAATTTCAAAACCCCTTTCGTTGGAGTTCTAAAAATTTCTTCTCTTGTTCCTGGTTAACAGTTTAATCAAAAAAAGAAAGAGAAAAGGAATGGACAGGAAATATGATCCTCATTTTAATCAATCAAAAAGAGAAAAGGAACTAAGACTAAATATGATCCTCATTTCTTATTTACAGTAAAATGACAGTCAATAAAACATTATTACTTGTTGATGCTTAACATTACAGATCGTTTGCATAAGAATCCAAGGTTTTCTTACTGATTTGTGGTTCATCATGGATCGGACAAAAAAAAGGGGACTACCCTAAAAAAAGGGGGACTGCCCTGAAAAGAATTACAATACAAAATGGCTATTTTTCTGAAACCTAAGGCTGAACTCTGAACTGGTTTCAGGAATTTAAGAGAAGAAGCATGAAATGCAAGAAATGGGGGATTTCTATTCGTTCTGCAACAAAAACCCTAGAAAGCACAACTATAAACACAGAGACCAGTTTCTAGATATGATGATAGCTTTTTATAGCAAATGAAGCATGAAAACAATGTGGGTGAACAAATTGCCACAAGTAAATCGTACAGAGTGCAGGAATAAAGATGGAAGAAAATAAATGGATTCTCAGTAAATGGTAAAAAAATATCACAGAAAAGTTCGATACATGTGATGTTTTCGTCATTCATTGACTGGTTTGTTCTTTATTTGTTTCCACCACTCGTTTGTTTTATCACTTGCTTGGTCTTTCTCTCCTTCACTCGTGTCTGTATCCTTGGAGTTGCCCCTCATTGATTGCTGCATTACTCCCTTCCTATGCCGCGCGTTTACTATCTTTAACTCTGAAGCTTGAGTTTAAAAAAGAAAGAAAAAATCAAAATGGCGGGAGACATACCCTGTAAACAGGAAGTCCCATGGAACGGCCCTGAGAAACATTTACAGGTGTTTAGAGAGAGGATTTATAGGAAGGAAAGAGAGAGTGTGTTTTTGTAAGAGAGAAACAGGGGGGATTTGCAAGAGGAGTGAGAAAGAGACTTGTAGCGAGAGAGAAACAGAGAGGTGTGAGACGAAGAAGCTCATGTGTAAGAGGCTGAAGAGAGAGAAAACACGCAAATTGAGAGAGAGAGAGAGAGAGAAAGAGATGGTACGGAGGGCAGGCCATGCGCGAGTGGTGGTCGCAGAGTTCATGCTACGTGATGCATAATGGATGGCACATCACCATTACCATGATGATGATGATGGTGATGATGCCCTCCCTCTTCATGATCATCATGACGATGGTATGCTGCATGGCCACCGGGCCGAACAGCTGGTCCGAACGGTCCGGCTAGTTTTAAGCGGTTTGACGAGTCAAATGAAAGTTTGATAAATTTTTAGTATTTTTTATTATGTTAATATTTTCCTGGAGTTTGATTAAAAACGTTCAACAAGCCTTAGACTAAAACCAAACCCTCGCTGAATGGATGATACTGGACAGTAGAGTTTAAGGGGTAACGCCGATGAATTGATGATGATGATGACAGTTATGATAATGACATGTTTAGATGAGTATGATGATGGTCATGGAGTGTTTAGAGGCATGACGATAATGCCTCTTGATGGCGGCAGCGGGAACGGATGAAAAGATAGTAATGAAACACAGACAAAGGGCAATTGCGTCAGATGAAAGACTACCTTTGATATTACGCTATTGGGACTCCCACGATTCATGACCATGTCATGTTGATCATGCATCAAAACTCACGCATTGATTATTTTTGTTTAATTTATATTTTTTTATACAAGGTTTTGTCGTAAACGGCCATCAACATTAAACAATATTAAACAAGATCTGAAAAAGTTAGATATAGAGCCGAACTTGTAAACAATCAAATTAGAGCCCACTCCAAAAATTTCATTAGAAGATATTGTTTTGATACGTAAATATCAATTGATCGTCTCAACATGGACATCAGAAAAAAATGGATTTCAAGCAATGGTTTAAAAAGCGGATCGGTGATCCGAGTCGGACACCTCAAAAATCGATTCGGATCGAAAATCGGTTGAATCCGTCATATTAAAGCTTCAAAAAAATCCGAAAAAATTATTAAAATTCACTATAAATATTGTTTTTTTAGGAATTCAATAAGAAATGAGGGTACTCCATTAAGAATTTTCATTTCTTTACATGAATATGCGAATATTGATATGTTCTTTCTCTGCATGAACTACTATTTACCATTTAATTTACATCACACAAAAGGATAAACATAGAATTATCATGGAATAAATTCTATCAACATGCAATTTCTTCAATAAAAACTTTAATAATAAAAATTATAAAATATGGTTTAATACCTCGTGATAATCAAAACCTGGTCACTATTTTCACATCTTTCCGAAAAATCACGATTTTTCAAAAAAAATCGATCATGTACTAAAAAAATGAAATAAATAAAAACAATTCTTCACAGAGACACCTAACATCAGTCACTCCAACTAAAAAATGCGTTAACAACAAATTAAAAAATACAGTTTTGCATTAAAAATATAATAACATGCATTTTTTAGCATAAATAATCTATCAACATACAATTTTTTCAACAAAAACTTTAACAATAAAAATAAAAAATATGGTTTAATACCTCATGATAATCAAAACCTAGTCACTATTTTCACATATTTTCGAAAAATCACGATTTTTCAAAAAAAATCGATCATGTATTAACAAAAAAAACAAATAAAAACAATTCTTTACAGAGCCACCTAACATTAGTCATTCCAACTCAAAAATGCACTAACAACAAATTAAAAAAATACAGTTTTGCATTAAAAATATAATAACATGCATTTTTTTGCATAAATAATCTATCAATATACAAGTTTTTCAACAAAAACTTTGACAATAAAAATTAAAAATATGGTTTAATACCTCATGATAATCAAAACCTGGTCACGATTTTCACATATTTTAGGAAAATCATCATTTTTCAAAAAATTTGTTCATGGATAAAATAAAAAAAAGTACAGCAAAATCAAACAATAAAAATAAAAAATATGGTTTAATACCTCATGATAATCAAAACCTTGTCACGATTTTCACATCTTTTAGAAAAATCACAAATATTCAAAAATTCGATCATGGATTACAAAAAAAAAAAAAAATGTTCTTCATAGAGCCACCTTACATCAGTCATTTCAACTAAAAAATCCACCTCCAAACGAATAAATTACATCCAATTGAGTACATGTTTTGATAAACAACACTATAAGGAATCAAAACCCTAAATTATGAACACATTATTATCAATAAATCAAATCAAATCGATTAAATTGAGCAAAAAAAAAAAAAAACGCAGTTCTTCACAGACAACAATCATTGAATCTAAAAAATGAAGCTCAAATTGAATACATCTGATTATAAACAAGACTATAACAATTCAAAACCTTAGAAATCTAACACATTATTTGTAATATATCGTGAACAATAGATCGAAAGGCGGAAAAAAAAAAAAACAGCATAATTTTTTTTTCACAGACATCACTGTGTTCTTCTAAAAACTCAGACTGTAATTGAGTAAATTAAATAAAATTGAATATGGTAAATGATAAAAGACACGATAAAGATTTAAAACCCTACAAATTTAACTGATTATTTTCAAAATATGGACTAAAATTCATCCAATGGCGGAAAAAAAAAAAAACGCAGAGTTCTTACTTGGTTTCGTGAACCAGTGGCTTCAATCTCCAAATTAATCAGTTTTTCTCAAAGATAATCACAAATTCGTAACAGAATTTTCTAATGAACACATTTACAATCAATATGCCTCAAACATTTCACAAATTCATGCCCCATTTGGCATGAAACAAAACGAAAAGCGAAAACCCTAAAACCCGCAACTTTCACGATCCAAAAAATTGAAATTTTAATACCACTTAATGCATGAAAAGACCGAAAAAAACTACATAAAGCCTGAATATTCGATTACATGGCAAAAACAAGAAGAAAAATGATAAAAAAAAAAGACAACATTTGAAGAAACCCGTGAAGAACACTGTGCAACCCGTGTTCTTCACGAGACTCGCCGATTCGGTACAGTGAATAGGCGATTCACTATACAGAATCGCTCGGTTCTCTTTGGAATCGGGCGATTCCGTGTAAAATACCAGAACCGGCACGTATTGTGCCGATTCCGGAGTCGAACCGGGAGAGTCCGGTTGGACTCGGCATTTTTTAAAACACTGATTTCAAGTTTTGGAAATAGTACATCTTGTAACGCATTTTTTTTACTATCAATTTCCATAGATTTGCTCGATCTACTTTATTTTTTAAGCTTTAAATTTTATAATTAAAAATAAAAATATATTTTAAAGCATCACAAAGACTTTTACTATTAAAACCACATTTGCCAAAAAGCCTTACAACGAGATGAAAATCTTCTTGTCATCTCTAATTATAAATTTTAAAGGTCAATAAATAATGTAGATCGAACATATCCATAAATAATTAATTTTTTTTAAAAAAAAGTAAATATAACATGCTACACTATTATTTTCATGCGGTGAATTTTTTTTTTCCTTTTAATTTTTTCATATCCATACATCTTGAGGTTGAGATAATCGACTTGAAGTTGAGATAATCGATTTGAAGGTTTTCCAACAACAAAATATGTATTTCTTTGGTATCCTTTATTTCAAAAGTACAAGGTTGACACTTCTATAAAAACTTTTTTCTTCCATATATTAATATTTTATATTTTGACATTTTTTGATTTATTTTTACAAAATATTATCTTTTATATAATTTAATTTTATATAATTATCAAATTATAAAAAAAATATTAATGATATATATTATATAAAATTATATATAAAAAAAGATACTACAAAATGCCTATAAACGAAAATGAACAATGATTTCACCTACCCTCATCACCGTCCAAAATTCATCACATAGTCACGATTGTCTAGTAGTGTTTCATTTTTCATTTGCTTTTTTACAAATCAAAATGATCTAAAATTTAGAACGCGTGTTCATGAAAAACAGATGAATCTACAAAAATATCAAAAAAATATTTTACTTGAAATAAATTAACCAAAATACCTCCAACAAATTTCAGATGTATTTTGATCGATTTATTTTTCACGAATTATTTTTTTATATTTTTAATTGATACACCGCACAAAGATGTACACACGATTCAAATTTAATATCATTCCGATTTGTAGAACTATCTCCCTCAATTATCACCCTCACTCTCATATTCTTCTTAGGTAACCATTATAAAAATCTTCACTTGTAACCATTTTTCTTTATTTTTCTCTTTTTCCATCTCTCATGTACGTTTTTTTCTATGGAATATCTGTTAGGTCCCTTAAGAGACTGTGGAGATATTTTGATCTTTATTTATTTTTAATCATCTCCAGTAATTCCTAAGATTGGTTTGATGATCTAGTCATTCCCAAGATCCATTCCATAATTATAAAAAGAGAAAATGTTCCAAATCCATTCCCCAAGAGGGCTTAAAGCATAAATCTGTAACATATTGGTTAGAAGAAATCCATAATTTATAGTACACAGGCAATCCCTTTGGGTAATTTTCAGAAACTTCATATTATCCATGAAACATTGAATAGAGAATATAAAGCAATTATTTTTCCTTCCTTGCCATGTTAAGGAAAGCAAGCATTCCTATTGGAAGTCCATTTGTACAATTCATAGAAAGGAGAATGTTGGCCACCAACCTGTTGAGAAATGCTTATTTCAAAGATTAAACACTGTACAAGAGGTTGAGATGATGATCAACTGCAACCCACAAGAGGTGAACAATTATTGGCTCCATTTTTAGCTGATCTTAAAAATTCAGCCAGCTTTGTATGTGGAACTTCTCGAGATCCCAATTTCTTTTTCCTAATGTGTGTCACCTTACTGGGTTTAGCTTCCTTCCTAGTGCCCGTAAAATTGTCGACTGTCACAGAGACCAAGTCGTAAAACTGTACAACAATAACCAAGGTCCAATTTGCATCAGAACAAGGAGAATTATAGAAGAGGATGTGTTTTGCATTCGCACAAGTGCATGTGTGCGTGTCAGACAGAGAGAGAGAGAGAGAGAGAGAGAGAGAGAGAGAGAAGAGACGACGCATATACTACTAGTAGTAAGTAGTACGTAGTAGTAAGTAGGTCGTTCGTACCGTACGTAGACACAACGTAACCTACCTCCTACTC